CCATAGGAACTGCAACTGAGATCCATGCATTATTCATGTATTCTTCCAGAGTTGGCGTATATCTATTGTAGTACCACCTTGCTTCTTGTAGGTAAGATTTGCACAAATCTGCTCACTAATTAATAACTTGTCTCAAATAAAAGATGTAGCATGGATTTAATAGGTTCAACTAAATCTATCAGTTTTGACATAAAACATAAATATAAATGTGAAATTTCAACAATGAACCCATAATTTTAAAAAATGCAAGTGGTTCAGAAAACGAGAAAGAGAATGAAGAAATTAGAATAACTCTTAAGTATAATGAATCTTACAGATTTTATAAGGTAGGGTAGAATGTTGATCCCTTACTCATTGAGAACCTCATAAGCTATTTCATTGGTTGTATTGAAGAGCTCAAGATAACATACTTTCATATAATCTGGAAGTTGTTCCATTGCTTCTGTCTCCCATCTGAATTTATATTTAATTATTAAAAAATTAGTAACGGAGTAATTTCTCCAATTTTCTTTGTAAAAGTCGTAATTAAAGGCACATGTCTTCCGTTAAACCGTTCTAGACAGCGAAACAATTAATTAAATAGTATAGTTAACCAATGAGCAAATGAATATATCAAATTTACTGCTTCCCTAAAGTTTACCTTTCAAAAGCATTAGTGAAGACTTCCAACTCATCAGGTGTGCCATAAACATCATAAATATCATCTATGACTGCAACAAAAGCAATGACTTTTGTCAACGTTCTTCGGTAGTAGCTGTGCTGAGGCTCAAATATTATCCCCACTGCAAAAAATAAAGCCTCCACCAGTCTATCCCTTAAAAATGGCAACTTTACTGCAAGGCGTGTGCTCTTCCACCATCTTTACATGAAAACTAATGTTGTATGAGAGAAATTATCAGGCATATTAATTTCTAAATAATCAATTTTAAATCTATATATTGATAGTATAATAAATTTTTAACTACCAAAGTAATTATTGGATCGAATATATTTCACATATTCTTAGATAAATATTCAAGGTATTTGAGAGTATCTCAACTCCTCCAAATTAAATCTTTTTTTCTTCCACTTTCTAGTATCCACATTAGGCCCGGCTAAATTTGGATTGGTGCCGGAACATCCCACCCACATTAAGGGATAAAACACTAATCAGAGGCATTTGTGAAAATAATAATTAAAACATATTCTTAGCCCTTGGAAAGAGAAATAACATCAAAATATAAGTAATAAAATATATTGTAGAAATTAAAAAAAAGACTTCCCTTTATTTCACATGAACTTAATATAATTCAAGGTGAGATGCTTTGGTTTATGTTATTTGCAAACGACATAGTTCTGATTGATGAGATGCGGGGTGGTATTAATGAGAGGCTCGAGGTCTGGAGGCATACCCTTGAGTCTAAAGGTTTCAAGTTGAGCATGACCAAGACAGAATACTTGGAATGCAAGTTCAGCGGTATTATCCAGGAAGCAGACGAGGATGTGAGGCTTGATATGCAACTCATTCCTAAGAGGGAGAGTTTCAAGTATCTTGGGTCTGTTATTTAGAGTGATGGAGAGATTGATAAGGATGTCACACATCTTATCGGAGTAGGGTGGACGAAGTGGAGGCTCGCTTTCGATATTTTGTGCGATAAAAATATGCCAATGAGACTTAAAGGTAAGTTCTACAAGGTAGTGGTTAGACCGATTATATTGTATAAGGCAAAGTGCCGGCCAGTCAAGAACTTCCATGTCCAGCAGATGAAAGTAGTTGAAATGAAGATGTTGAGATGGATGTGTGGGCATATTTGGTTAGATAGAATTAGGAATGAAGTTATTCGGGACAAGGTGGGAGTGGTCCCTGTGGAGGAAAAGATGCGAGAGGCGAGGCTAAGATGGTTCGGACATGTTAAAAGGAGAAGCGCAAATGCCCCAGTTAGGAGGTGTGATAGGTTGGCCTTGGGGGGTGTGAGGAAGGGTAGAGAAAGGCCAAAGAAGTCTTGTGGACAGGTGATCGGGAGGGACATGGCGCAACTTGAGCTAACCGAGGACATGACCCTTGACAGGAAGGTGTGGAGGTCGAGAATTAAGGGTAGAAGGTTAGTAGGTAGTCGAGCGTTCCCCTTTGTCTTTATTTGTTCAATAGTATTACCGTTGGTATGGTATCCCTTTTATCGTTAGTCTGTTATTACCACATATCTTGTATTGTTATTACTTGCCATCAGTACTCCCTTAGTTTGTTATCACGACATATCTTGTACTGTTATTACTTGCTACCAGTACTCCTGTCATCTTCTCTTTTGTATTCTTGGATTTAGTTTTCTAAATATATATCTTGTATGATTATTATTTGCTATCAGTGCTTCTT